TACTAGTAAACATGATTTTAGTTTGTACATTGTTGAAGTAAGAGTGACTTTTTAATAAAAAAGATTCGATTTACAAAAGAAAACTCCTTTCATTTATTGATGTAATTGGATAAAACGATGACGGATTTACATTTACAAAAATATATTAATCAAGAAAATAAATAAAAGATTAGATTTTAAATTTTTTAAAATTTATATAAGAAAAATTTAATTTTTTATATATTAAATACAGTGTAAATCGATTAAATTCGTTTCTATTGTGTATCTAAATTTAAATCTGAAAGAGTTTAAATAAAAAATGTATCAAGAAAAGACCACACTCGTAATTGGACATAGGCACCAAAGAAATGATAATTTTTAATTCAGTGGAATGGAAACTGAAAATCTAATTTAGTAAGTTTACGCAGGACTCTAAATGACAGTAGAATAAACACTTATATCATTAGATTATTTTAGTTGAACGGTTTGTATACATGTCTTATACTCCTATGTTCTCATGTTCGAATCCATGTCTTGACTGCATCAAAATTCATGTAAGTTATAGTTCTAAAGGCCTATGAAAAAATGTAAACGAATACATAAATTGTACCTGCAATTCAAGATCTATGAAGTCATTGACGATTTTCAATTTTTTTTCCATCTAGAATTTACGACACCACAGTTTGAGAAATGCTGCCAAATTTTTCATAAAAACAATCGTTACACAGCGTTTGTTTTAGCAGATGTGAAACGCGTCAAACCGGTCAGCATTAACGCGTTTCGCAGCTATGGAAAAATGCGTTTTCAGAACGCGTTTTTTTCGCAGAAATTTACACCGTGGGCTCATCTTTCACATAGACACTGACTACACTCAACCTCGAAGGGAACGAAATGGAAGATGAAGGAGTGAAATATCTAGCTAATGCCTTACGAGTGAACAACGTGAGAGGAATAGTCTTTTCTTATATTGCAACCTCATCTTTCTTCTTTTACTTAGACACTTACTGGGCTCAATCTCGGTTACAATGCAATTGGAATTCCAGGAGCAAAACATCTGGCTGATGTCTTACGGGTGAACACTGTGAGAGGAACAATATTTTCATTTGTCTCATATCGTTCTTTCTTGTTGCATATAGACACTGACCTCTTTAGATCTCCAAACCAATGGGATTGGAAATACGGGAGCAAAACATCTGGCAAATGCCTTACAAGTGAACCAAGTGATAAAAACATTCTTTTTATTCACCTCATTCTCTTATTTCTTCTTTTATACAGAAACTTACTAGGCTCGATCTCAGCAGGAATGCAATTGGCGTTCCAGGAGCAACGTATCTGGCTGATGCTTTATTAGTGAACAAAGTGAGAAAAGCATTCCTTTCAGTTTTGTTTCACCTTATTCTTACTTGTTTCATACAGACGCTTACTACACTCAATGTCAGAACAAATTCAATTGGAGATGAAGGAGCACAACATCTGATTGACGCTTTACGAGTGAACCAAGTGACGAAAACAGTCTTTTCATTTGCCTTATCATTTTCTTTCTTCTTTGGCACAGACACTCCATACACTAGACCTCGGTATGAATGAACTTAGAGGTTATGAACTAGTTCATTTGTTTGATGCACTACGAGTGAACAAAGTAAGAAAATGTGTCTTTTCATTAGTCTCATCTTTCTCTTTCTTCCTTCACCTAGACACTCACTACACTCGACTTTTTTGGTAATCGATTCGGAATTCGCACATCAGAGCATCTGGCTAATGTTTTACGAGTGAACAAAGTGAGAGAAAAAGTCTTTTCATTTTGATTATCTTGTTGTCTCATCTTTCATACAGACACTTACTGCACTCGATCTTGAGATGAATGCAATTCACAGTCAAGGAACAAAATATCTGGCTAGTGCGTTATTAGTGAACCAGGTGAGGGAAAAATTCTTGTCATTCATCTTATTCTTTTCTCTCTTCTTTCATATAGACACTCACTACGCTCAACCTCGCGAACAATTTTATCATGGATGAAGGAGCAAAGTATTTGGCTGATGTCCTACGAGAGAATTGGGCAGGAAAAACACTCTTTTTCTTGATATCATCCTCTTCTTTCTGCTTTTACACAGACACTTACTACACTTGTTCTCGGTGACAATGGTATTAGAGTTCTAGGAGCAAAGTATCTAGCTAATGCCTTACTAGTGAACACAGTGAGAAAAGAAGTCCTTTTATTTGTGTTAACTTGTTCTTTCTTCTTCCACACAGACACTTACCACGCTCAATCTTGGAGGGGATGTGGAGAATACAACAGATGAAGACACTGAAGTGAATGCAATTCAAGCTCCAGGAGCAAAATATCTGGCTGATGTCCTACGAGTGAACACAGTGAGAGAAAGTCTTTTGGCTTGTCTTATATTGTTCTTTCTTCTTCCACATAGACACTCACTACAATCAACCTCGCGAGAAACTATATTGGATATGAAGGGGTAGAACACTTGGCCAATGCTTTACAAGAGAACCAGGTAAGCAAAACATTCTTGTCATTCGTTTTATGGTCTTCTTTCTTGTTTTACACAGACACTTACTACATTCAACCTCGAAGGGAATCAAATTGGAGATGCAGGTGCAGAACACCTAGCTCATGCTTTACGAGTGAACAAAGTGAAAAAGCACTCCTTCGTTTATTTCATTTCATTCTTTCTGTTTTCATACAGATTCTTACTACACTCAATCTCGAAGGGAATCGAATTGGAGATACAGGTGCAGAACATCTAGCTCATGCTTTACGAGTGAACAAAGTGAAAAGCACGTCCTTCGTCTACTTCATTTTATTTATTTATTTTTTTTATACAGACCCTTACTACACTCAACCTTGACTACAATGAAATTGGAGTTTCAGGAGCAGAACATCTGACTAATGCCTCACAAGAAAATCGGGTAAGAAAAACATTCCTTCATTCGCCTGACCATTTTCTTTTTTGTTTTACACAGGTACTCACTACACTTCATATCCGGAGCAATGACAATGACAATGAAGGTGAAGAGGAAGAAAGCGACGAGGAAGAAAGTGACAAGGAAGATTGATTTTAACAATTAAAAAACACTAGTGCAACTTTAGAGTTGACATTTTAAGTGTGGTGTTTGAAAATTGATTAACATGTATTGAAAGTTGTTTGATTAAATTCAAACTGACATAAAATTATAACAGTTATGAGAATGGTTGTATGATATAACTTCACTTGCATATATCTAAGGATGTTCTTAGCTAGAAGAATCCCTTTGTAACTCAGTAGATGCGTAAATGCGAAGATACTGTTTAGACTATTGTCATATTGAATAACAGAAGATGAGCAGGTAAGTAAATGACGAATGGATTGAGTCCCTCGGGTGGGTGTGGGTGAGGGTGGGTGTGGGTGTGGGTGTGGGTGCCAGTCTTTTTTCCATCCATTCACACCCAGACACCCCACACCCACCCACACCCACACCCACACACCCACCCACACCCCCATCTATTTATTTAGATAAACTTGAAGCAAAACATCATGTAATGTTCCTTCCAAATATTTAATTCAGAGTCTGAGAATAACCAATACGAAGTGAATTCATTATTGCAAGGAAATCTTCATTTAAAAAAGACAAGTTTTTGATAAGCAAAGTTTTCTAATACACCGACGACGACCCAATTGAAAACAGAGTTTGTCGAAAAAGAACACTACCAACGAGCAAGTAAACGTAAAAGTATCTTGGGGTGTGGGTGTAAGTGTGGTAACTTCCTGTTTGCCTACACCCACTCGATAGATATATTGTTGCTAGTTGATGCGAAAGCTGCACAAGATATCGAAATCGAAATTTAAACTGATTGATTTCTACTTTTCGGGAACCAGAAACAACTCGAAGATATGAAAAAGAATTTCTGATGCTAAAAATAAATTTCTTTAAACTTTCTTTTTTATTACTTCTATCTGATATTTAGTTTAGTACATAGTTGATAATATTGCAGATGCGATATATACCTCTGGTCTTTGAAAATTTGTTTTTTTGCTCATGTATTCGAGAAAATTAAAGATTTATTCAAGGTTTACATTCATTCATCATTTGTTTTGTTACTTATGAGTGTTTAAAGTCACTCAATAAAACTTGTTGATTCAGTTGTGTGAAAATTTAATTTAATATATAAAATAGAGTATTTCATTGTTTTTATAATCACAAAAAAAGAGAATGTTTCTATGAGTGAATTCTAATTAAATAATCCAAATTCATATATTTGCATCCATATAAACAGACTCTTTCAATCACGAAATAGTAATTATGGAAACAAAATTAAGCGAATGGACAGAAGGTTACTCATTTGATCTTCTTGAATTGCTTCAATTTTTATTCGGAGTGAGAAATAGAAACACAAAAACAATAATTCAATGGAGAAGCACCAGAGAATTTGCTGAAAGCTACGAGCTTGCTTACAAAGTTGTGTTGAAACGTGGAGATACAATATTTTTCATTCTACATCCATTTTTTGTCAACAAATCAGATGATGTTTGTTCGAAAAATCACTAATCTTCTTCAGGTATGACGTTTCAATGATCTTTCTATATTAACGAAAAAGTTATTATGTTTGCTTCTAAGATCGTCATTTTCTGGCGAGAAGAACAAAACTTAATTGACTCTATTATTTACTTCCAATTAATTTGGTTGTAAGGCAGTTTATTGTCCCTTGATTAGAATGCCTATCTTCATGCAGATCTTAGAAAAACTTGAACTTCTCTTTAACCAAGTGCTCAGATTCTGTGTAAATCGTAAGATTTGGTTAGTTTTTTTCATTCACACTCACTCTTCGTTCTCAAAATAGACATGTGTAAAAATGATTCATCAATCGTTTATCTTGCTTACTCGGCTTGATTGCAGTAATGATAACAAAAGGAAAAAAAAGAATTCTTATCTTATTTTGTGAATAAATAGGTTGTCACTTAAGACAAATATTTGCCGTTTAATATTATAATTCTTATACGTATCATAACGTATGTTAACGCAGTAGCAACATGGTTTTTGAAAATTTAGTTGTTTATTTACTCGATAAATATTTGAGTGATTACATCGAAAACTTAGATACAAAAAAACTTAAAATTGATTTATGGAGTGGTAAGTTCTTTTTTATAAACCTTTTTGTTTATATGTAATTCATTAAAATTAGGGAATGTTGTTCTGGAGAATCTGTATTTAAAACCAAATGCATTAGTATGTCTATTTAATTTTAAAGATGAAAGTTCAATTAAATATATATAATTATAGGATGATTTGAATTTGCCTGTCACTATATCATTGGGTTATCTTGGTAAATTCAACTTAACAAAAATTTTGTATTTATTCATAATTTATTTGTTTTTATTAATTGTAGAAAAATTAACCCTAGAAGTTCCATGGAAAACTGTATATACAAGTCCAACTAAGGCAACAATCGATGGACTTTTTCTATTAGTTGTACCAAAAACTGGTTTGTAGTTTTTGTTTTTTTTTTAATAAAATATCTGAATTGTTTATCTATACAATAGAAGTTGAATATGATGCTAAACGAGATGAAAAAGAAAAACATGAAGCTAAAATGCGAGAAGTTCATAAAATAGAAGAACTTCGCAAAGAACAAGAAGCTCAACGTAAGAACTAAAATCGTTTTTCTCATAAGGTAAAAACTATTGTTATTCATTTTTAGAAAACTCTAAAGAATCTAATAAAAATAATGATACATTCATGGAACGTATGCAATTACAAATTATTCGAAATTTAGAATTATCAATTCGAAATATTCATGTTGTCTATGAAGACAAATCAACAAAACCAGATCACCCATTTGCTATTGGATTTACACTGAATTATATTACCTTACATGTACTGTTTTTAAATTATATTATATTTAATCAAAAGTTTTGTTTGTATTCTAGACAACTAATCCAAATTGGCAGCCAACTGTACTCAAAGAAGATACTGCATGTATTCATAAAGTAAAACATTTTACTGTTTTTGTTTATTGACAATAATAAAACATCCAAGAGAGAAAATTAGTTTTGTATTATGAAATTCTTGCTTTTAGCTTGGTGATTTAAGTGCATTATCAATCTATTGGAATACGAATGCCCAATCACGATCTGGGCTATCCCGAAATGCAGTTCTTGTATGTCTTAGTGTTTTGTTTTTTTATTTGATTCAGTATTTGCTGTCGTTTAAATATAGAAAAGTTTAAAAGAGCATATAGCAATCAACAATAAAACAGCACCGAAGAATATATCATATAGTAAATTGTTGACTTAATGTATTTTAGGAAAATTATCATTAATTACTTAGTTCTTCGACCGTTAAATATCAAAGCAAAAATTATCTTAGTTATGAAACCACGTCAAGAAGAATTCAAAAAACCAATGTTTGATATCAAAATTGATTTAGATGAAATTAGTCTGAATATTAATCGTGATCAAGTAAATTGAATTAAAAAGACTTTTTATGTCTTTATTGGTTAATTTTTAGTACTTAGATTTACTTGATCTACTTGAATTTCAAGATTATCTTAGTATTAAATCGAAATACATTAAATATCAGATTAAAAATGACATCGAAAAAAAACCTAGTCGAAAAAGGTAATTTCATTTATAGGAAATCAAAAATTTATATTTCGTTATATGAATTCTCAGATGGAAATTCGCATATGAAGCCATTGTCAACGAAGACGTTCGACCAAGATTTGATTGCTATAAATGGAAAAATATTAAAGCACATTTAGATCGTCGAAGAGAATATCGTTCGATTTATATTCAAGATTTATTAGGAAAAGTAACAGTCGAACAAAAACAACGAGCACAAGTAAAAATAAATTATAAAATAAAATTAATAATAAAGTTTGTCTACTGTAAAATAGATATTAGAAAAGAAACTTGATGTTTTTAATTTAACATATGTTCGGTGTGCTGCAGAAATTGAAGCAAAAAAAAAGACAGAACAAGAATCCAAGACTTGGTGGGGAGGCGTGTCAAGTTGGTGGAGTGGAAATAAACCACAAGACGATCCAAGTTTGATTTTCAGATGTTTTATTATTATTAGTATCTGTTTAAATTCATTTTCTAGATCTCGATTTACAAAAAGTAATGTCACTAGATGAAAAGAAAAAACTCTATGATGCTATTGGTTATGAAGGAGATGATATTTCAACATCGACTTATCCTGAAGAAGTAGATTTTTAATCACTTATAATAAATTCAAGGATAAAAATAATAAATTTTTGTTTGGTTCTAGTATATCGATATTGATCTAGCTATTCAATTAAATTTACTTGAAGTCAATGTTTGGTCGAAAGTTAATCAAGATGATGCTCAGTATAAATGAAAATATTTTATTGAAAATTAACATTAATCATGCTTTTTCTAGTTTTCGAGTTATTGCTTGAGCTTCTATACCTGATACAAGTTTACAATTCAAACGAAGACCAGCAACATCAGCGATAGCGTATGTTTAAAAATTAGATCCATATGACTTTTGATCATCTTTTTATTTAGAGTATCTGCTGGTTTGGGTTCATTTCAAGTTTTTGGTATCGCTACAGATTCAAATGAATCGGACTTTTCTAATCAAAGTCGTCCTATACTTGCTCAACCTGTTTCTCGATTATTGTCGTCAACATCGAAAATGGAAAAGAAATTATTAGAAGTTGAATATGAAACAAATCCAATAGATAAATTAGCTGATTTTCGTGTTAAAGTCATTTCTCAATCTCTTGAAATTAAATATAATGCTGTAAGTATTTGATTCTATGTCTGAGAAATATTCAAAAACTTTCTTTACTTAGCCAACAATTAATAAATTATCCGAATGTTTTGAACAAGATACTCAACGAAATCTTCAAGGGTAAATGATAATTCAAATTGAATTCATCTTATTGACGAAAATCAATTTAGTGTTAAACAAGTTGCTTATTCAACTTACACAAATGTTAAACATCGTTCATATATATTAATGAAGCATAACATTGAAAATATCAAAGTGTTGGATGTTTATCTTGATCTTCAATCATCTTATTTTCTTTTACCAGAAAATGGAGTTTATCAAGAGTAAAATAATCAACGCTTACGAATCTCTTGTGAACATATCAATCTTTTGTTTTAGTGGTGTCGCAGTGATGTGTATGGATTTAGGTCATTTAACATTCAAACGAAGTGATCAAGGCGACCAAGTGGCTTCATTAAAAGAAGCAAAAGTAAAAAAAAATATCTTTGTTTTTATATCGTTACACTTTTATTCGTAATAGGATATTGAAGAAGCTCGTGAAAAGTCATACACTCAATTTGAATTAAAACTTGAAGACGTTCAATTAATTTACGCAAATCGAAGTAAGATAGTAAAGAAGAAATACATTTGAAACTAAAATCATATTTAGATGAAAGTTGGAAAGAAGCTCGTCAAGAAAAAGATACTCGTTTACATTTAATTAAACCAATGAAACTTGATTTAGATCTTGGAAAATGTATTTATACTGATGATGCTGATTTACCTGCGTACATTTTTCTTGATTAAGGTTTAAATTTATTATTAATTTGCTTCTTTATTCTAGTTGGAAAGTTGCTGGAAATCTTCCTAATGTAGATTTACGTTTATCCAATAAACGTTTATTTCAAATAATCAATCATATGGAATCAATTCTCTTGCCCAAATCGAAAACTTCAGCAATAGTTGCACCATCAATCGAATCAGAAGTTCGTTGAAGTTTACCTCGTGAATGAATGCATAAATACTTAATTATTCTAGTCATTACCTGTACAATCAACATTGAGTGATACTGAACAAACTTTGCAAGCAGTCGAGGGAATAGCACCAGTAAAGGAAACGAAAGAAACAGATGAAGGAGAAAAATCAGTTGACAATAATGAGAAAAAACAAGAATTCGAAGGACAATTAACACAACTGGAAGCAATGTTTACACTTAATAGAGTAAAAATTTATTTTCTTTAACAAATAAGCATAATCTTTGTTTTTCATCAAAGATTGATATACATATTGATGAAAGTTCAAATGACAAAGATGAAGATCAACCATTTCTTCGTTTAACACTAGAATCAATAGTTGCTAAAACTACAATAAAAACTTTTGATATGGACTTCGATGCATCATTAGCCAATTTAATTGTTTATCATGAACAATTTATTGGCAAAGATAATCAAAATTTACGTTTATTGTCAGCTGAATTAGAACAGATGAATGGTCCTGACAGTCAAAAATTAGTTTGTTTCAAATACCATCATACATCATCAGAGAATCCATTATTTTTATCACCTGATTATGATGGAATTGAAGATAGAGTTCAAGTTCATTTTAGCAAACTTGTTGTTACATTACAATTAGAAGCACTTTTATCAATATTCCGATTTCAAGATTCATTAATGAAAAAATTACCACAAGCAACAGCCGAGGACCAAGCAAAACAGAAACGAGAACAAGAGCAGAAAAATATTGAAGTCAATGACAAAACTGGACAAATTGTTAAGAAACATAGTAAGATCTTTTCCGAGACATAAGCGTAAATCTAATATTCTTATTACTTTTGTAGATGCTGCAGCAGTACCTTCACTTAAAATCGACGCAGATTTGGATGAATTTCGAGTGATATTTGCATCCAAAAGAGCAAAATTATTTGATATTCTAATTCAAGGTTAGTTAAACAAAACATTTTCTATGATTTCGATTTATATTCGCATTGTATTTAGGCATCAAAGCCAACGTTTCTCAAGCACCAGAACAAACATTGATCAATTTAATTCTATCTGATTTACGTGTTCTTGATCCATACCAACAAGCACGATATCGACAAGTACGAGAAACATTGAAGCTAAAAGAAATATTAAATAAAATTCTTTGTTTTATTTAAGATTATTTCTCAACAAAGTGATGACAAAGAATTACTTCGTGTTGATTTATCCTTATTCAATTATCCGGAAGGGTATGTAAAAGGCATCGATGTTTACGATTGTGATGTTCAAGTTCAATTTGCAAAAGCTACGATAGTCTTTCTATTTAAACATATCGATGCTTTACTAGTAAGAACCTTAAAAAAAAACCTATTTGGTTTAATAAATATCTCGTTTAAAGGGTTTTCTCGATTCATTAAATATAACCAAAGCAGCCCTTAGTCTAGCGTCAACACAAGCTAGTGCTGCTTATGAACAAGTACAAAAATTACAAGAACAAGCATTTAAAGTTCATCTTAATGTCATATTTAATGCTCCGAATATAATCATTCCAATAAATTCATATTCAGATCAAGCACTTTTTTTTGATTTGGGTAAACTAACATTGAAAACTAATTTTTATGATGATCCAAAAAAACTTCTTGTTGAACAACAAACTATTCGATTGGAAAATATTCTTGCTAGTCGTGTTAAATTTGATCAGGATTATAATGTAATTGGTGAAGTAGTTCTCATTGAATGTGCAGAATTAAATACATCTATTCATCGTTTACTCTATCCAGATAAAATTAAAACGGAACCAGCAGTTTCAATTAAAATCGATTGGGAATCAGTTGATGTAATGACGTTTTTGTATATTTCTCTACTTATAATTCAAGTCTTTTGCTTTGTTGAAATAGTTTCAATTGGCCAACGATGATTATACATCTGTTATGAAAGTTTTAATGGAGAATTTCTCGGAAAATATTCGTGATCAAATACCTGAAGGTTTTCAAAATGATCAATTTCATTATAAACAAGCTGAACAAGAAAAGCAAGAAGACCAATTGGTAGATTCTTTTATCAAGAAACAGAAGGGTTTGTTAAATAAAGATTTTCATTTATAGAATAACTGGATCATTGAATGTATCAATGCTTCTTCTTTTAGAATCACATACTGACGACGTTTTACAAACACTAAAAATAAGAGCCGAAATTAAGAAAATGGCATTAATGCTTTATCTTGGTGAATCAGATTTGGTTAGTTTCGCTTGCTTAATCCAATATTCTCTTTTGTCTCATTGATATTTTATTAGACTGTTCGTCGTGTACCACGTAATAATAAATTAAAATTAGCCAATGTTCAAATAGACACATTGGAAGCAGTATTTCGTCAAAAATCTGATGGAGGCTATAAAGCAACAGGACGTGTAAAAAACTTGTTACTAGATGATTTACGTGCAACGAATAAGACAACAAGTATAACACGTATGATGGATAGACATTTTACAGTTGATCCTAATGCTCATATGTTTGCTGCGTCGTTTGAATTCAAACCAAAAAATCAATCGTGTGAAACAGGACTTCGACAAAGTAAATGAAAATCGTTATTTTCATACACTTTTCACTTAATTCTCAATTATTAGTTACTGCACAACTTGAAAGTCTATATATTTGTGTCAATTTGGATTATTTAATGACGTTAGAAGACTTTTTTGTTTCGGGTTTACCAACGGATAATGCTAAAACTCAACAAGCAATAACACAAATTGATCAATGTGAAAGTGATCAGAATCAAGTGAAAGCAGCAGTTGTATCTCCGAAATCATCACAATGTATTAGAAGTTTTCTCCAATGCTAATATCTTCATATTGAAAATAAATCTTTTGATTTGTAGCTACAACAAGTCAACCCTCAAATGCAGACGTAGAAACTCGGCTTGAAGTTTCTGTGAAAAATCCAGAAATTATTTTACTTGAAGATTATCATGATTCAAATTCGAATTGTCTTGTACTTGATGTAAGTTTTATTCAATATCTTCAGTACATATTTTGTCTATTATTCATACTTTAGTTGGCATTACAAATGCGTATAATTCAGGTTGACAATGAGACAAAATTGTATGGCTGGTTAAAAGATTTAACAATTTATAGTACAAATTTTGCTGAATTAAAAAATACGAAGAATTCTGATTCGAAAGTCAAATATCGCGTAAGTTAAATGATAATTTATTCTTTCAATATTTCAGTTCTTTTTGTATTAAAGATATTACAACCAGCTAAAGCTGATATATTTCTTACACTGAATGATGAACAACAAAAAATTGATGTTCGAATATCAGATATTATTGTTAGTATTGCACCAGCTGCTATTCGAACTGTGATTAGTGTTACAAATTCATTAGGAACCAGACAAGTAAGAAAGATATATCAATTGAATTAAATAATATTGCTATTTGTATTTAGTCTGTTACACAAGAGGAAACACAAAAATTAACCTCGAAAGGATTATTTACTTCAAAATCATTCAAAGAAGGAAATTTTTGGTTTACAAAAGGTATTATGAAATATTTCCATCAACTTGAATAATATATTTTATTAAAACTAGAATTCGAGAAACAAAATAATGTAGAAGAAATAAGTCCAGTGCAGCAGATAACCATTACAGAAGAAATACGAAAACCATTAGCACAACTAGTATGAATAGACAAAGAAAATTCTACTATTATTATTATTTTTATTTAGTTAATTTTAAATTTGGACACAATCGAAGTTAAACTTGAAGTTGGATTAGGTTCAGTTACAAAATCTGTTGTAGCTATGTGTTTATCGAATTTAATTGTTGATGTTAAAAATTGGTCATCGAAAGTAAAAACCATATGTGTTGCAATTTATTTCTATTGATTTACTTAGATGAACATGACGTCGAGCGTAAATATCGAAGCAGCATTATACAATGAACATACGCTTACTTGGGAACCACTTATTGAACCAACTATGAATTTCAATGGTTTACGTTTTACACCATGGTCGCTAACATACACCGTCTCACCTGTAAGTACTTAACTCAGATGAGGGTACTTGAGAGTTCTTTCTCAGAATCCCTTACTGATATGGAACCATTTTAACATAATTTTATTCGCACTGTTGGCTCTTAAAATAGAACATGTTTGTTTTCGAATTCGAAGGCTCTTCTATCGACGGAAACAAATGTTTCACCGACGAAATCCAAAACAGTTATACTGCTACGTTTTGATCACTTACTCAACATAACAATGACAAAAAGTGGACTGGAGCTTCTTCAACATCTATCAGCTTTATTTAATGATGTTTATAATAAACGTCTACCGCCAAGTGATGATGATGATCAACCGATGTTATCTCTATCGAATCAAACAGGACAAAAAATAATTATTAGTAATTTAGATGGTCTTCAAGTATATTTGACATGTTCTATGATCGATTCTATTTTTGATGAATTTTTTTCATAGTTCGCTAGCAATCCATCCATAAAATCAATAACTCTTCAACAAAATGAAAGTATTCCATTAAATGTTTGGCATGAACATCAAATAGTTGGAAGACTTTCGGTTATTGATGCACAAAATCGTCAACAACGACAAGAATTTTCTGTCCAGGTAGTGATCAAAATACAGTAATTTACTTTGCATAGAATAAAAAAATTGAATTTTAGATTGGAGATGTCAAAAAAACGGTTAGTATAAATCGAACATTGCAACGTATATACACATTACATGGATTGTCAAATATACAATTGCCCATTCAAATGCTTTGTAATACTCAAATAGAAAATGACCGTCGACGTGTTATTCTTAGCTCGATTGTTCGAATTTACAATCATACAACATTACCATTGCTTATTTTAAATACTGATCCAACTAATCGTAAAAAGCATAAACGATTAGCTCGAATTGATGTTAATAAAGATTACTATGTACCTATTGATTTAATTTATGCGCATGGGCCAATCTTTATAGCTGTTGATGAGTAAATATTTGAGAAATACAAGACAAGTTACTTGTTGATTTCTTGTAGAGATGAACAAGTACATGATTTCTTTTCATTCGATTGTAAAAAAGAAATTTTGTCTGAAACTAAATTAAAATTAAAAAATGGAAAACAAGCAGATTTTATTGTAAGAGTTCTCAGTGAAAAATTTGCACATTTAATAGTCATTTATTTACAGATTTTTAAAGAAGTGATGGATTCGTATTCAGAAAATACAAATGAACTAGGTGATTTCTGTTTCAATATTTATATTCAACCAGCACTTCATCTAACAAGTCTTCTACCAATCGATGTTGAATGTTCAATTGACGTAAGTCAAAGATTGAATTCAGATTAAATGATAAACATCATTATCTGAAGAAGTATCAAAACCATCATTTTTTGCGACCAAGAGTTTGTAGTGCTTCTTCCTTTTAAGTCAATAATCTTATATTTCTATTTAGAATGTTGAACAATTTAGTTTGAAACCAAGTGAACTCTATTTAGCTACATTTGGCAGCAAAACTTCATCATTAATTTTTACGGTAAATCTTTCATTTTTTTAATTCTTATTTAATATGATTTGTGCTGATATTAGATTCCATCGAATAATAATATAAAATGGGTTTCGGACCCGGTTGATTTGAAAGTTCAAGGACAAGGTGATGATAATGAACACATTGTTATCTTGCATAATCAAACTGATCCAAGTTCTCAACAAATACTAGTAAAAGCCTTTTAACTAAAAACACAAAATGTATCTATATTTATTTATTTCTTTAAGAGGATGATTTTGCGTGTTGATGCGTTTCATGAATCATATCGTCTATTATTTTACGCACCATTTTGGATCCTTAATCGAACAGATCTTAAACTTGATTTTCAAGTAAATTGTTATGAAATTTATAAATTTTGTTCTGAGATTCATTTGAACAGATTGAGAATAATCGAACGTTGATTGATGTTGTTGAAAGACCGTATTTGATTTGTCCAGAAAAAATAGGAAATGAAGCAAGCAAAAAAGTAACAAATAATAACTTGAATCAAAACAAATAATATTTACCATTTTATCAGGGGCAAATTGCTGTTCATAGTACTGAACAAGGTGATGCACAATCGAAATGGTCAGAAAAATTTTCTCTTGATGTTATTAAAAGTACAGGTTTAACAAGCTGCAAAGTATCCAATGATCGAACATACATAGTAATGGAGAAGTTTACCTATAAAAAAGTGTTGTTATCAAAGAAATTTTTATATAGGTTTGTGTCGATATTGTGACAAGTTCATTTGGTTTAACAAAGCTTGTAACACTTTCACCATCTATGTTTATCATCAACAAATCAACAGTATGTTTAAAAAAAGATTTTTTCTTAAGCATTCATAAATTTTTCTTCTACTGAAAGGTTGCCATTGAAGTAGTCGAAACTGTATCTGGTGCAGAACAAGGCGAATGGAAAACAATTAATCCCGAACAAGTAAATAAGCCTTTGTAAAAGGTCAATTTGATAAAAACAGTTGATTTTAGTTGATTCCATTTTGGCCACGGAATATACAAGATGGTTTAATGCATGTTCGTTATGTACATAATCGCTTAACATCAAAATCATTTAAAACCAATCAAAAATATCGAACACTTTTGCGTATGGATGATGAAGAGCAACCAGCTATTCATATAGACGTAACAGCAACAGACTTCGATGGTGTCAAAGTTATCTTTGAGGACTACAAAATTGGTGATGCACCATTACTTATTGTAAATTTGTTCGAAAACGATTCAATTTCTTTTCGTCAATCCAAAGATATGTAAGTCAAACATAATTTTCCAGAAGAAATTTCGTTATGTTGATTTTTGATGTAGACGAACAGAAATCTTACCACCATTGAATTATGTTTATTATACATGGATAGATCCATTGCAACCAAAATTATTACTTGTATCACGTGGATCACAAACAAAAGAGTTAGAACTTATTGTAAATTAGAATTTATTATTCCTTACATTTTAGGAATTCTCGATTGACTTTCTATTGATGAAAAAAATTTTTTTTTTTTGTAGCTTCAAATTGGTCCATTAGGAAAAGAAGGTGATCCTGTTTATGCTATATTTCTTGATGGTGTTCAAACAGTATTACTCTTCTGTGATGATTCAAAATTACTTGAAACGATTGCAGTCGTACGTATTTCTCATTCGTTTTTAATTATCAAAACTAAATAAATTATTTATATAGAAATCATCATTCAGTGACTCTATGGATCAACAAATACAAATTGGTATACAAGATATTGGTATTTCTATTGTTAATGATATATCACGAGAAGAAATATTTTATATAAGTTTAAATAAATCCAAAACTGTTTGGACTGAAATGAAGAAATCTCGTGTTAAACTTTTGCCTTCTGATATAAATGAACATTTAGAAGAACTTTATCGAACTCATACTGAACAATGCGAAATCAATCCAGATGATAAACACCTTCTGGAAAAGATATATCAAATGGAAGGATTTCGGGTATGATACTTATTATTTTATTTCATTATCAATTATAAAGTTCATTTGTATATTCTTCCCTTTGTATGTCAAGAAAGTCACACTTCATGATGATACAGCGGAATTGACAGATTTTAAAGATCAAAAGAAAACCGCGAATCGTCAAGCATTAGATGCTGTATGGATTGAATACTCATTCTCCTCAACAATGAATTCTGCATTATATTTACGTATCAATCGTTTACAAATCGATAATCAACTTAGTTATACAATGTTTCCTGTGATGCTTCATCCAATTATTCCGAAATCAACAGCAAGTGAATATGTTGGAAAACCATTCATTGAATTGAGTATTTATGAATCGAAATTGGCACAATCAAATATAAAACAATTCAAATATTTCAAATTACTTATTCAAGAATTTGCTGTTCAAATTGATCAAGGTTTAATTGTTGCGATTCTTAGCTTTTTGACAAAACACAACGTTTGTTTTTATTACAAGATTTTGCGACATTTCCTATTTTCTCTTCGTGTAATAGATTAATTCACCACCAATGATCAATATGAGTAGCGATTTGGAACAAATTCAAAAACCATTTGATGCTATCATTAAATCCCAAATTGACAGTCCATCGGGTGAAATCGAAATGTTTTTCGATAATATTCACTTATCACCACTTAAGGTATTAAAAATAGGTCTATTTTTTGGTATTAAATCACTTAATTCTGTTTAGATTCATGTTAGTTTTTCGATGCACGGGTCAAATCCAAGTGAAGAATTATTAAATGAATATCCCTTAGTTGGATTTCTTTTACAAACATTGAATGTAGCCGAAGTACAAGATGTTATTTTACGGTAAAACTTTTTATCCCAGTAAATTCAATTTGAACGGTTTTGATTTTTTAGATTGGGTTATTACGAGCGAAATAATGAAAAATTAACGACAACAAAACTAACTAATGAGGTCTCCTCTCATTATCAAAATCAATTTATGAAACAACTGCACGTGTTGGTACTTGGACTTGATGTACTTGGAAATCCACTTGCTGTTATTCGTGGCCTTGCTCACGGTGTTGAATCATTCTTTTATGAACCTTATAAAGTAATATTTTTAAAATAGAAACTAATCACTAAATAATGGCATTTGTATTTCATTGTCAAGGGTGCAATTGAAGGTCCTCTAGAATTCGCTGAAGGTGTAGCAACCGGTGTACGAGCATTATTTGGTTCAGCTGTTGGCGGTGCTGCTGGTGCCGTCTCAAAAATAACAAGTGTACTTGGAAAAGGTTTAGCAACATTAACATTTGATGAAAATTATAAGGCTTCACGTATTCGCCGCAAAGAACCGGGTGCTACTGCCGCATCACATATAGCTGTGGGTGGAAAAAATGTTGTCATGGTTGGTCAAGGGTCTTTTTCTTTGCTATATTTGATTTAGAGATTTATTTATATTTTAATATAGGGTTTTGTGGATGGTGTTAAAGGCGTTGTGACAAAACCAATCGAAGGAGCAAAAGATAGTGGAGCATCTGGATTTTTTAAAGGTTTAGGAAAAGGTGTTATTGGTCTTGTTGCACGACCAACAGGCGGAGTTGTCGATTTTGCTAGTTCATCATTTGATCGTATCAAACGGTAAGACAATCTCGTCTATGGACACTATTCATTGATCAAACAGAATACTTTACTCAATCTAAGTTAATAATAATATTTGCTCAAATTTCATTCTCCTCTAGAACTGCTCAACAAGAAGAACTTGTTCGTCGTGTTCGTTATCCACGTCATATCAATCCTGATGGTCTCGTTGGACCATATATTGCTCATGAAGCTATGGGATTTTATATTTTAAATGTAAGATTAGTCTTCTCCATTAATCCTTCCAATGGTTACCTTCTTCTTAATAAACTTTTAGCGATTAGAAGATGGTAATATTGCGAAGAGAGAGACATACGTTGCTCACATAACTTGTTCAGAAGATCCACTATGTTGGTTAATGACTACTTCGAAGTAAAATGGAATTATACAATATAATTCGTAGTTTGATTTTCAATATTTTCAGGAGTTTATTGTTTATTATTGAAGTATCAATTCTTGGTTTATATAAAATTGATTGGCAACTTGCATATGAAGAGTTAAACGGAGCACCGACTATGAACACAAGTACAGGTCAAATCCATATTTTACCAAAAGTAAGTACAAGAAAGAATCGAGTATCTCAACTAAAACGCTCAGTGAGGATAGTAATATATAGATTTGTTATCTCTAGTTAATTCAATAACAGTGAAATATTAATTGAATTTATCTTTACTTATTAGGAATCAAAGACAACTGGACTTCTAAAAACAAAAACAACTCGGGCAGTTCCAAAATTAGTTAAATATCGAACTGTTTCTGAAGCTAAAGTAAATTGATTACTATTTCATACGAGATTTATTGAGTTCATGATACAAAATAAATCTGTTTGATATATTCGTATCAATAGTAAAGGCAGCGCCTACTATACTATTGATACAAATAAATAATTCATTTATATCAATTGTGACATTTATTTTAGTACATGGTTGAGGAAATTACGAGTGCAATGCATGCCATGGGACGTTAGAAACTTTGATTCTGTGCTTATATTCGGCAACTGTAAAGATTTACTTCTTTTTCTTAAGTACAATTTTTTACAACCAATCAACAAAAGCTTTGATTTATATTTGTGTGAATCGTTTTGTACTGATGTATCTCTGTGATTGATTTTATATTGCATACACTAGTTTGTAACTATTTTTCTTTCGGAAAATAAATGATTTTATATTTCAAGTATTAGAATGAAACTATTTATGAGATAATTACTTTTTTTTCTCTATAAAAAAGTTTATGATTTTATGTGGATGTGGGTGTGAGTGTGGGGTGTGGGTGTGGGTATGTGGGTGTGGGTGTGGGTGGGTGTGAGTGGGTGTGGGTGTTGGTGGGTGTGAGTGGGTGTGGGTGTGGGTGTAATGAATACCAACACCCACACCTCACACCCACTCACACCCACACCCTCATCTCGTCTTTCCAACGACGAAAACTGCATTTCTCTATCATGTTTTTTTTATTAAAATTTTTTGAAATGAGTATTATTACCACCAGCACATGTGATAACGAAATACATCTTATCTTGAGGATGGACGTGTGTTATGGTATGGGTGTGAGTGTTCTGTCTGTCCACACCCCACACCCTACCCACCCCCGTCATACACTCATCCGACTCATCGATGAAGTTGAAATAAAGACAGAGAATTCCATTATATGTAATATCAGGACATCTCAATGCGTCATCGAGATTGGTATTCAATGTTTTGCTCAGCGACTACTACGAAACAATGTGAAGTGTGACCCGAAATCTTCTTATGTCATGAATCTACTCTTCAGTGGTGGTTTTTTTCCGACGGGATGAGTGCTTTTCATCTAGCAAGCACAACCTGATTCCAAGACTTCCACAGTTGGCTCTCATTTGAGCAGTTCTCCAGATTTTGGTTAAACTCTTGAAGAATCGAAGTCGGTTCTGTTTGTCATACTGAAACACCAATCAGGCAAATAATCTTCACGGAGTTACTTTCAGACGATTATACAGTTCATAAAAAGTGCACGTAATACTTCGCAATCCGTCGTACATCTTGAGTCTAATGAAAGAACAATCTCAATGCGAAATATGTCGTTTCTGTAAACGTCAACATCTTCATGCTGCAAAATGCAATATGTTTTGCGTCAGCTACAGCAAGATAACACCGTCATGATCTCACGATTCTTCTTCTCTTTCCTTCGAAATTCGTATAAATTTGTCGAGGACAAAGTTTCTCGATGGTTTCGTCAACGAAAAATAGATAAACGATGGTCTGCTCTTCATAAAACCACCTGCAGCCTTAAAATGCACAGCTTTTTCATCCTCCGTGAGTCCTTCAACGATAAGAGCGACTTTACATGGCCAACAACAACCACATCAGATCTTTCTGCGTTTTCTTTAGACTCTAAAGTTTCGACGCGACATAAACAACGTTTTTGCGAAGCACAGAAAAACTGACATTAAACTTGGTTTCCTTGGTGAAATGATCGATTTGTTTTTTTTTTATAAAGCCGACTTCTTCATGGTTAAGACATGTATCAACCGACATCGAACGAACAGAATCGATTTTTCCAAAATGGCGACTGAGATCAAACCGTTCCGACGAAGTTTGACATTTTTTTCATCACAAAATTGGGAACATTTCGCGTAAGTCGATCATCAGGCTGAAATCCCCACTGTGAATTCCCACCATCATAGGCAACAGCAGCCACCAATAAAATATCGTCGTCACTTCGTTGTTCCGGTTGCATTTGCAATGCATTTTTATTTTACAATCGGTTCAAATTCATTTGTACATTTCATTACATCTTGTCTTTTAAAAACGTAAGCTTTTTTGCAGTATCGGGTAAGAGCCGACAACGTTCCTATTTAAACAAATAGCCGCTTATACTGAACGCGCTTTCTGAAGGCACACTTGTTGCAGGTGTACTTAAGTTTCTTTTCGCCAGAATTCCAGAACATTCTCGACACGACTGCTAACAGCTAACTTATCGTAGAGTTGAATTTCGAACGAGGAATTCGTGGCTTTTGTCTGAGGTCGGATCAAACTCGTCCCACAGATAGAGCGAAGGAATTCGGACATAGCGAGAGGTTTTTCGGACGTAGTTGCCGCCACAGCAGTGCGCACAATGGATGAATGAGCACCAGGTGTAGTATTGCCGGTGTTATCGAAAATATGCTTTGTGATTTCGTCGAATTGTTTTAGATCATGACGAACTGCACGCTGTGCATTGGTAACTTCATCAGCATCAAGTAATTTACGAGCACTCCGGTGGAGATAGGCCGCTGTTTGGATAGACTTCATTGTGAAATCTTTGGGAGAAAAAAAAATATGCGTTGAATTCGTTCAACAAGCATACACGTGTTGCATCAGCCTCTGATGTAGGCAACGATTGCTTCAAATGAAATTGTAGTCTTTTAATCGCGACAGCTGCTACATTGCCTGTACAGTAGTGGCTGCCACTGAGCACGGCTGTTGCCTCGTAGGAAAGCTTCAGTAGCAACTGTAATGTCCCGAGTAGAGTAGAACACTTGGCAAGCGTGATTTCATCCATAAGAAACTCGACAACGGCTTTTCGAAACAAGAGAAACCGTTCAATCATAGCGTAACTACTGTTCCACCGAACGCGCATATCCAAAATGAGCTCAGTAGCTTTCGTTTTTATGTATGACCAGAGTATTTTCGGAAGATGCCGGTTAGTATGTGCAATCTTCGAACTTCACGAGCAATCGTGCGACATTTTTGAAGAACATGGCCGACACATTTCTTCATCTCCGACGAATCAATCGAATGTACACCGCTCACCCACTCATCGTTTACCTAATCGATTGCCAGCTCACTGATATCGACACAGTCACTCTCGTCTGAAACTTCTCCTTCGCATTGATCGGACTCATCGCTACTGTCGGCCTCGTAGTGACGACCGAGGTTTGTCGGAAGATTCTGTGGACAGAAAAAAAAGCAAAAATTGTCCTTAGAACATTTGAACTATGTACAGTGCAATATGTATGTTGCCAGTGCACATCGAAGTCGAAAGGGAAGACCAAAACAGTGCGTAACTATTTTCGAACATGTTGTTTTCTGCCAACTACATGATCTTGCGACGAAGTCATGATTCAAAGTCCAAGACCATTTTCAATGAAAATGTGAAACATATGCGCAACGCACCAGTTACGCGGACAACGCAACGGCGAGCAGGCCTCTTTCATATTACTGCCGCCGTTGTTTGGTATGCCGGTCGTCAATGGGTACGAAGAAGAGAATGCTACTGTTGAAATTAAATTCATTATCGATGTAATGAATGATAACACATAAAAAGCTATGCCAATTTTGTGAACTCCATAGATTCATGGTTAAAGAGACACTGTGAATTGATGAAACGATTACCGTGAAATTCCTTTTAGCATTGGCATATTCCGTATGCAGCATTCGTTTAGGTTTCTACCGACTCGGTACTGAATAATTCGGCATGGCTATTTTTCTAAACTATTTCATACCTAGAATGAAACTTACATATATGACTAAAAACGATACTAGTCTGACCTGTCGGAGCTCTGGAATAGAGTGAATGGGCGCGGATTGCTAATGATACATTTCAGCAATTCTTTATCGAGCAACTTCTTCTTTTCTACGTCCACCAAGAATGTTTCGTGGCGATTGAACATGCTGACTACTGTGCGCTGATTCAGATCGGTTCTCTTGTTTTTCTTGCTCTTGTCGGTCTGTCTGTGAGTAGCCAAATGCTTTTTCAGACTTGCGGTTGATCCTTGATTGAGTTTGATAATCTTTCGACAAATATTGCACGATGCTTCTGATGGCAAAATACGTGTAGCGTTAGACCATACATCAGAACGAAAGCTCGCGGGCTCTTTATGGTTATCTTCGGTTTCAGAGATCGACGAACTGCTCTCAGTTACTTCGAGATGATTTCGTTTGTTCATAGCTGTACAAAAGCAGTAGTAGCAGAGATTGGACTATTATTAGTAGTAAACAAAATTGAACGTAGACGCAATACCACACAGATGCTTATCTCGTATATCATTGGCACATGTACGTAGCAATCGTCACTACATATGAGTCACTATTCTCGAGCGTTGTACACAATCGATTTTTCTTTTTGTTACATAGACAGGGAAGTAGATGGAGGGAAGATAGTAAAGATTACGCTACGTGCACGGTTCTATTAAGTATAGAATTTACGTTATGCTGTATTTTTAAAGTATTGCGATAGAAATAAAATCTTTTTAATCTTCAGCTCCGTTCGGTACCGAATGGTACTGATTGAGAACCGAGATTTTGACATAAAAATGGTACCTGCGTCAGTATCGAAGTACCGATACATTCCTACGCAGCTGGGCAAGGAAAATCGAATCATTTTCCTAAGCTTTGTCTTTTATCAAATGCAAGAAACTATGGCAGACGACTTTCACTGGTGTACAGCGATCGAAATTCTCCCTGCTTCGAATGTTCAAAGAAATATTCAGTAGCTTGTCGACTGAGCTTTCCCCTACTAAATGAGTGATCCATACCGTGATTGGTTGACAAATCGTGTCCGTCGAAATCGGACACACGACGCCAAAGCAGTGTTTTTCTCAAACATGTTTCTTAGTCAAACACAGTCAAGAGTGGTCTCTAAAAGTAGCATTCTTTGTTGCAGCTAGACGAAAATCGGGTTTTCGGCTGGGATAACCTTTGCAGGTGACTGGGTTTTCCTTGTGTGAAAGCTTGAAGAGTACAAGACTACTATTGACTTGTGACATTTTGAACGGTTCAACGCGAATGGAATGCGATCCTCTAGTCAAAGTAACAACAAGCGG